AATATGATTATATAGAATTATGAAGTTTCAGACATTGGGTTTAACCAACACTTAAAGACTTCATAATCTACAAAGAATATTTCATGAAAATAAATTCATTATTGATTATTAATATGACATCGTGGAAAAAAGTGCTGTCTCTGGATCCCTGTGTATCATTAAGTTGAAATACATTTAGAGGCAGGAAATTAGAAAGATCATGAAAAGAAAAATAATATTTTATGCTGACGGAGTAAAGAATGTAGGGCTTTATTTGTTTATTTATTTTAGCGAATGGTCTACAGGGAGTTCAGGGTCTCACTACTAGATCCTACTCATAGTGATCTGCCTGTTTACAGCCTCCCAAGAGCTGGGATTACAGGAATGCACCACCATGCCCAAATTGCATCTCAGCGCGCCCCAGGGGCGGGGCCGGCACTGCAGGTCCAGGGATTCCCGGGTCATACACCTGCTTGCAGGTGCTTTAATCCTCTGAGCTATTTGGCTGGCCCTTTCTAGGGCTTTAGACTGGGAAGCAATCTGCCTGGGGGAAAAAGGAAGGAAGCCCTGGAATTTCCAGTTTAGGGAGATACACTGAGTTGCTGTAAATTGTAGTGGGTAGACAGGAGGCAGCATTATTTATAGTTTTTATTTTTAGTTTGTTTTATTTTATTTTAGTTTTAGTTTTCAGTTTGTTTGTTTGTTTTCCTTTTGGTCTACTCCAGGAAGCAGCATAGGGATAATAGTTCCAGAACAGTTTTTAAGCAATTGTATTTATACAAAAATCGAGAGAGCAGGAAAGGTAGCTCAGCAGACTAAGTGCCTGCTTTGACAAGTGCAGGCACTAGGCTTCAATCCTCAGTCCCGCGTTCCACACAGCCCTGCCCCTGGGGTACACTGAGCTGGAGTCTGGGCATGGTGGGTCACGCGTGTAATGCCATCACTGGGAGGCTGAAAATAGAAGGATCACTATGAGTCCAAGTTGCCTAGTGAGACCCTATACAGAATACATAAATGAAAAAAAAAAAAACAACAACCAAAAGACAAAAAAACGATTGAGTAGCATTTCCTGTGGTTCACTTCCCATCACGGGAGGTACCCGTATCAGGCCAGTTCTTCATGTTCTTAGTTTAGAAAGACCTTAGCACACTCAGCCAAAAGTTAGACGTATTACCTCAATGATTTCTTCCTACTTTAAAAATTATCCTTCACGTAACTTTGCCTTTTTTCTGAAACACTACTTCTAACACACACTGTTAGCTCTTAAAAGAAGGACATGTAAACCTGCATTTCCTGCCTTGTAAATACAGATTTAATTAACACTTGCAACCTGTGAGGATGCAAAACCTTAAGTGTTAATTAATAGTAAGCAGAATATAGGCCTCCATTTTCTTGTATAATATCACAAAGCTTACTTTAAATTCTACAGCACACTGGAATAATAAGATAGTCTGCTTGACTTCCAGCAAAGAATCCAGAATTCTGGAGGAGCAAAGAAATCGCATTTCGCCATGTATTCTCTCATTTTGGCAGCTTCCTGTCAGAACACTCAACTGTAACACATTGCTTTCCTTGGTTACATCTGATTTTTATTTTATCTTTTAACAACAGAAAATTTTATTGAAATACAAATTTTAAAATCAGTTCACTTAAAAATGGAACTCTTTTAACTTTAGTCTGCTTAAAGTCATTCTTTCAAAATAGCACTTTATTTTTAAAATGATAAAGCAGATGGCTTGACTGAATCAACAGCAGAAGTGGGCTTTTACCCACAGGCCAGTCCTCAACATGGACATTTGAATGCGATTTTCTGTATGGCCACAAAATGCTTCTCAGTTAAGGGCTGGCCAGATAGCCCAGCTGACTAAAGTGCCTGCTTAGGCAGAGCACAGCATCTGGCCAGATTCGATCCCTGGTGTGCTGTCCTGACCCCACCCTCAGGGCGCGCTGAGACAGTGATTGAGACTGGGAATGGTGATGCACACCTGTAATCCCAGTTCTTGGGAGGCTGAAAGCAGGAGGATCACTACGAGTCCTATCTACACAGTGAGACCCTTATACTAAATAAAAATAAAAAAATAAAAAAAGATCTTCAGTTAAGAAGCAGGAAGTGGGGGAGCAGAGGAGAGTTCAAAGCGGAGGTCTTTGCCCACATGTCCAGTTGGTTCACAATTTTATGACAGACTTAGCCAACAAGTAAGACTGTGAACAAAAATACTTTCTATCAATCTCCATATGAAAAGACCACAGCTATAATGATCTGTACAATTTTTATGCTGAATGCTTGGTTAGTATAAATTTTAAATCAAAATCAAGTCAGAAATTGGTTATATTTTATTTACAGTAGAAATCTAGCTAAGAAATCTCTGTATAATCCTCAAATTTCCTTCTGAAATGATGTACAATTTTCTTAAAGACAAAGTTCATATGTGAAATGTGGATTTATTAAAACCAAGGTTTCATTTTATTTATTTATTTAATTTAATTTTTTATTCATTTTAATGAGAAAAAAGATAAAATAGTAATAAAATAGTTTCAAAACAGGCTAGTAGGACAGTTAGAACAATTAATACATCACATATTGTTGTCTTCATAGTAGTTATTCAGAGGACATGATGTAGACATATCTAAACTATATTAGTACAAACCTTTCTTCTCATTGAACTAAGAGAAAGTAGCTGTATATCTATTCTAACTATCATATATATATTATTTTTCTACAAAATGGTCCTTTATTTATATCCCCCTTTTTTGTTTTGTTTTGTCAGAGATGGATGTTCCATTGCTGTTAGAGAAACTGTATTTGGAGAAGCCTTTAAAGGACCTTTTCATATCTAAATATTGCACATACTTGAAGTCAGCAAAATAACCCAATATAGTCCAATAGTCTGTAATAGTAGTGAGTTACCAGCACGACTGGCAATTGTTAGAAGTTGTTGACTTGAATCTTTTATAGTTCAGCATATTTATATAGCTTTAATTTTTATTCCCCATGGTTACACTTTTCTGTTGGATGGTTAAGACCAAGTTGAAGCAAGACCTATATAACTAAAAATGTAACTTTTACTATCTGATAAGGTCAGTCAAATCCTCTCAAGATTTACCCTGGAACCATGTATAGCACCTTATGGATCCTTGTCAGTGTCAGCCATCTGGATGAGTCACAGCCCCTGCTTGACCATTTTGCTGTCTGTGAAAGCCTGAGTTTTCTCTCTAGCTGACTCTCCTTAGGCCCACTATGAATCATCAATCACTTTCCTTTCTGGCCCCATAATCTCCTTGATCAGGAAATTTGGGATACCACTTAGTTACAGGATGTCACAGCAGAGATTCTCTTATGTCATGAGTCCTCACTGACCTTGAAGGTCATTGCTATCATTTTAGCTCACATTTCTCTCTAATTTTTGGTCTGCAAACTTGGGTTGTTAAACATCCAGAAGAAAAGCTTACTGATATTATTATTCTATAACAGAGGTAGTTAAACTTAACATCCCTATCTGTATGAATATCACATACGTTAGACATAAAAACACCAAGCCTTCATTTTAAAATTGTGATAGCACATTCTTCCCTTTCTTGAATTAAAAAAAAAGTCTGTAGTAAATTCAATAAATGTAATAGCATATATCAATATTAATAATATAATCACAGGGCTGAAAGAGGAGCTACTTCCACCAGGCATGCTAGTTTCCTGTAGTCCTAGTGCCAGGAAACTTAGGCAGGAGGACAGGAAGGTAGTAAGTTTTAAGCCAGTCTGGGATACATGGAAACACTAGGTGAAAAAAAAGGAAGGAAAGAGAGAAAGAGGTAGATAGACAGACACACAGACAGACAGACAGACAGACAGACAGACAGACAGACCGACCAACCGATTGACCGACTGACCGACTGACCGACTGACAGAGTGCTACCATGCAAAAGCACATTTTAATATGAATAAACTAAATTTTTCTAAGATTATCCCACAGAGATTTCCATGTACATACTGGTAAATCATTTGTGCTTTAATATAGGAGTCTTTTTTTCTCTGTTACTACTTTGATCAATTACATTGTTAATTTAGTATCCCATGCTGTATGACATGAATGAACCACATTTAGTCTTACCAGGGCTTTTATTTATTTATTTTTAAAAGGACATTGATTAACTCTACCATATGTGCAGTGCAATTTCACACTGCACTCTAATAATGTGAGGCATCTGCATCTGTTCTAGCAAATCTGAGAGTCCAGTAATGATGGATCATTATAATAATCTATGAGAAATATTACTATTTCATTCAAAAATTATTACTGCAAATTACCTTTCCCATGGGTTACATCAACAGTCCATGTACAATTCAAAGAATTTGGATAAAATTCTGGGTAACCAGGTGACAAGATTGTTCCGCTCGGCCCTCTAACATCGCCTCCACACAGGGCTGAAAGCACAAGAACAACATAACTGAGTGAGTCCCAGAGAAGCACATGGGGAGAAAATCTCTCATCTCATCTCTTGATTGGGAGGAGGTCTTTTATCTTTGCCAAAGCCACTTCTTTCTAATAGCAGGAGTGTAAAGGCCTCTTCCAGAACAGGGAAATCGTGTCATTCACTGCAGCACTAGAGAAGAAAAAAATGTATTTAATCTTCTTTGAGAAGCAGCCCTGGCTGCAAGAGAGAACAGCTCAACTTTCCACACTTGAATATGAAGTTCAGACTCATAGTTTACAGATGACAAGCAGCATTAGAAGAAATTGGTGAGAAACTAAATGTATGTAATTAATTGTTTAGCAGCCTCTCTGAGCAAATGCTAAGAAAATGAATTATTAAGTATGTGAAATAGTTTCTTATAGGTACTTGGAAGGATATACATGATGGTTCATAGGATTATTTTTTAAAAAGTAGAGTTGGGTTGTTTTACAAGCTGTTGCTTTACTTCTATATTTCTCTGAGAAATATCATGAAAAGAACCAAAGCGTTCAAGGGGCGCCTATTTGTGAGTAAATATCTCAGGGAAATAAAAATAAATGCATGCTTACAAATTGAGGTTAAAAATTTAATTTTTGATCATATTATTCTATTTAAATTGCAAACATTTCTCAAAATTGTCTACTTTATTCAATATTTATAAATGCCTGTTGGATATTGGGTGTCAGTTTATCAAACTCAAAATCAGGAGGTGCTAAGGTAAGGCCTACTAAGGATTTGTATTGTGCTCACAGCAGAGGTGGTGCTGATTTCTGCCGCAGTTGTGCCGGGCGGAGCTAGCCCCCATGGGCATGGGCGAGGGCAGCAAGGGGCAAGCAGCAAAGTGTAGTCTTTGCTGCTTGACACATGACCAGCTTCTTTGGGGACATCAGAAAAGTGAGATTTTTCTTTGAGTTCTTCCACAGTCTTTTCCAGTGACCAGTGCTGGTATGAAGAAATGGCAAGCAGTCCTGCTGCGGCACTGGCTTGCGTGACCGCAACTGCGAAGCTGCAGTTGCCACATATGTTCAAGCACAAGACGCGGGCTTGCTCGCTGCTCTTTGCACTAAAGCCGCCTGTACCCTGCCCTACTCTCTGTCCTAGGAGAATTCCTAGACTCAGGTTCTTTCTGCAAAAGACACCTATGTTCCCCATTAAAGGCAGGAAGTTAAAGGCCCATAACCACTTTAAAAATGGAGGAGGAACGTTAACAACTAGCGTATTAATAGTATTACTCTGGCTATACTCAGATGGCAAAATAGAGTGAATTTCTATGACACAGTGTAGGGGTTTTATTTTATTTTATTTGTTTTGTTTTATAATGGAGATTGAATCCAGAACCTTCACACTGTGCTACATCCTCAACCCTTTTTAAAATATTTCATCAGGAGACAGAATCTGGCTAAATCACTAACTTCCCAGATGAGGCTTGGCCTTGTGGTCCTCGTGCCTCAGCCTCCCCAAGTGCTCGGTGTATGCCCATGCACAACCATGCTAGGCTCAGTGGTAAGTTTTTACTTGAAAAAAAATGGTACTAGGTATTATTAGGCTTGAAGGGAATTGATTTAAGATAGAATTGCATAGTACATAAGGGAAAAGAGTATGATTTAGTTTCCTTTCTTTTTCTATGTATTTGGTGCAGGGTCTTGCTACCCAGCTTGGATTCGTGGTGATCCTCCTGTTTTCTGCCTCGCCAGTGCTGGGATTGCAGGCATGCACCACCATGCTCAGACTAGGTCGCTGGTTCAGCATGCCTGGGGGCTGGGCTGGGCACGGCATGTGGTGCAGAGGATCCAACCTTGGTCCCTGCACTTCTCTAAGCAGGCACGTTAGCCTGCTGAGCAATCTCACCGGCCCAAGTTTCCCTCTCCAAATCACTCATTCTAAGCACTGAACCCCTAGCATGCCAATATCTCCGTGCAGGCACTTTCACTGATCTCTCTCTTCTACATTCCCATTTGCCTCTTGTCTAGCATGTGCCTGAAAGCCTCCCATCTTCAGCTGCTGCCGCCTCATCATTTTCATCAGCCTAATGAAGTTCTTCGTTTTTGAAAGTGAGATTATTTTACATTTCAAATGTTTTGAGTTGTATTTGCCTCTGTGATAATCATTTTGAACAATTACGGAGACTGACAAATGTGTGCGTTGATAAAAAGCACTGTGGCAGATGCTAATTCAAAGGAGAAAGCTTGGTCAAGTTGGGTTAATTTTTAAAAGTGGTTAAATCCTAACTGAATATCTTCTCATGTGGCCAATACTTGATTCTCTAAAAATTACCACCCTTATCACACTGGCAAGAACGGAGAGCAACTTATTAGGCTCAAACATTCTAGAGATTTCATATATTTTCCAAGAGAATGGAACTCAAACATATTATTAAAAGTATAGCAGAGCAGAAAATTTACGAAGACAGGTGGACATCAAGCATCTGAATTCAATTTTCTCCCTAGCACACGTGACTCCACATCCCCAAGGAGCAGAAGAGAGCTGATTTTAGTTCAATCCAATGAAAAATTGTTGAACACCTGCATTTTACATAGTTGCAATGTTTAAGAAATGAATCTAACTCAGCTTTGCTCGGACATGCTCCAGATGGAATTAGAATGCACAAGAGGAGGACACCCAGGCACATGCTTGCCATCCCAGTGGCTTAGGAAGCTGCAGAGTAGAGGAGCATGATGCTTGGCTTCAGAACAGGCAGTTGGGGTAGCAAGGCCATGTCACAAGTACGCAAGTAAATAGCAAAAGAAGACAGATCCCTTCAGGGAAGTTCAAAATGCCATGACGTAATCTTTGGGGAAATTGCATCGTAGGAACAGAGGACACAGACACCACTGGAAATCCCAGAATGCTCGCGAAGTCCGTGGTGAGCAATCTGTGTGTTCGTCTGCAAGCAGCAGGGAGCCATCAAATACTTCTGATGTGTGCTATCACACAAAATAATCTTAGTGGAAAATGCTGAAGATGCAGTGGAAACGTCAGAAATTGACACTGGCAGAAGATGCTGGGGGCCTGGGCTACTCCTAGAAGAACAGGTCATATCCGCTTTTCTGATAAATGAAATGTAAATTGCTGCCAGCCTTAAAACTGATGCTTAAGTTCCTGTTTCCCCTGATACAGCTGCCTCCATTGCTTTCTCTTGGTGACTATTCCTTTCTTATGTCAACCATGAGATAGCTTTATCAGGACACACAAACATAGGACCTTTCCACCACTGTTGTTTCTTCAATCCATAGGAATAGAGGGCCACGTAGAGTAGACACATCCCGTCATAATAAGACCTCCTTTCCCAGTGCCTGGTCCCAGTGTGGACCAGTTGTATACTGTTGTGGCTCAGGTCCAGATGGCCCTTAAGGGCTCACATGACCATTGGTGGGTCTTTTCAGGGGCTGTAGAAGCTCAAGTGTGTGATGCTGGGATCAAGGGTGTGTGATTACTGAATTAGTCCACTGACAAACCAATCAGGATTAAAGATGCTCCATTCTGGGTGTGAGTGCTACCTACACCAAGAATAGGTAGTGTAGACACAATATAAAAGGACAAAAGGAATTGTCACTTCCCTTATTGCTTGCTGCCTTGTGCCCCCTAAAGACTGCCCTTTCTCTGGGATGCCTCTCTGGCATGCCACCCTGATTTAGAGCCAGTCAACTATGATGTGTAACGTCTACAAACTGTGAGCCAAATAAACCTTTCTTTCTTTATTTTCTGATGTCAGATATTTTTGTCTCAGCAACAAGAAATGTAACTAAGAAAGATCCTTTTCATGTATTCATTTTCTGTTTTAGTTGAACCAGAAGTGGCGTCCTAACCTTTTTAGATTCTGAAGATAGGCCAATAAACCTCCATTTTGTTAAGACCATATTCTCTACTACCAGTTCCTCATGTGAAAAAATCCTGGCTACAATATTGAGTTATGTGACTAACCAGAGAAAAGTCTAGGTGAAAAATGGACTCATGAAAATGTTTTAGGTCTGGGGAGATAGTTCAGCAGTCTAAGCACCTGCCTGGCCAGCGCAAGGACCTGGGTTCAATCCCCTGTACTGCATGCTGTGCTGGCCCTGGAAGCCCTGGTGCACCGAGCTGCCCACCGAGACCAGGAGTGGTAGTGCATGCCTATAATTCCAGCACTGGGGAGGCTAAGACAGGAGGATCGCTGAGTCTGAGCTGTATAGCAAAACCCTGAACCAAATAAATAAATAAATAATTTTTTAAAAGTTTAATTTATGTTTACTAAGAGCTATGAGAAGTATAATGCCCAAACTTTTTTAAGATTGAAATAGTTGAACAACAATTTCTGGTTTTATTATTTTTTAAATCAGTTGGAATTAGAATTCAGTTGCCTACAATCATAAGAACACTGAGTAACACAAGTAGTATTGTGCCAAATACAGAGGAGATGTGCAGATGATTCAAATCATGTCATAAAAAATGTTGGCATATGGCCGTTCCTAAAACGTGAAGACATAGAAAATATTTAAATATTTAATCACAAAATGACAAATGTGCTCTTTTAACTTGAGAAATAATTAGTACACAAGTTGAAAATCATGCTATAGGTAGAGATTAAAGCACCAAATTAAAGAATGGATAGATTTATACTGTGGTTTTTGACAAACCAAGCATGGAAGAACTTCTCAATGTTAGGGAAGGCAATTTTTTTTTTCTTTTCCTTTTTTTTTTTTTTTTTCCGGAACCAGGGGTTGAACACAGGCCCTAGTGTTCATCAGGAGAGTGCTTATTCTACTGAGCCATCTCCCCAGCCAGGGGAGGCAATTTCTTCTACTGTACTTTTATGTGTGAGAAATGAAGAAACTACGAAGCTAAGAGCACTGCTGCACCGTGTACCCTCAGCCAGACCTCCCTCCACAGGGCAGGCTGCACAGGATGCCACTGTACTTTTAGCTTCTTAGAAAGCTCATGCAGTAGTGTGACTTTCCACTTGGGAAGGCTGCCTTCCAGGGAAGGAAGCTAAAACAATCACCCTTCATGCATCCACCTTCCCCAAATTTAAAGATCTCATCAAGAAATTTTGTCCAAGAATCTCAATATGTGTTTAACCAATGGGCACCTGGTTGATTATGAATTATTTCATTTTATCATTTCACTAATAAGGTTGACAGCGAAAACTGCCAAAAGTGAACATTGTCTTCGAAAAATTCAAGATAATCTTTTGAAAATGTATGATGCTTCTGAATCTCACAGGGAGTTCTTGGGAGTCTATACATATCCATACTTCATCAACTGCTATTGCTTACCAGTTTAAAAGCTGGGCATATCATCTGTATTGAAGGGGTCCTTACCATCACAGGTGGGCAGTGGATGACTCCACCAGTGGTTTTTTTCACACAGCAGGGGCTCTTCGTGGCTTAACCTGTATCCTGGATCACAACTGAAAGACACAGTAGATCCAATGGAGAAATCGTGGCCATAGCGACGGCCATGCACAGGTATGCCGGGGTCCAAGCAAGAGTACGTATTCACAGTCACACCTGAGAAACAGAAGGGAAAAGGCGAAGAAATTTAATGAAAATCAGACTTGATGAAAAGGATTCTCCTTTCTTCCTCTTCCTCTTGTGTCTTCTAACAATTGTGATGGTTTTCACAAACCAATGCATTCAGCTTGACTTTAGAAGGTCCAAAATTCAAGAAGTCTGTTTAGCAGTTTCTTATCAGTAAGGATTGAAATTAAGTCATTCAACACTTGAGAAGCTGATGGAAAGGTATGATTATCAATCAAAATCTGTATTATGAATTTTATGTATATATGTACAATAATAATAGCAGTAGTAATTAAAATGTCTTGACATTTCATTCCCGGTATCCTTCTAAATAATGTGCAAATTTTATTTTTCATTCCATCTTAGTAGAATGAGAAAATTTAGAATCTTTTGCAGTATAGAGAAATCCAAATATCATGGTCTTTCTAAACACAATGGAGTAATACAGATGCTCTGTTGTCTACTTATAGATACTTTCAATCATCTGCTCTGTGACATTGTGGCATCTCAGATCCCGTCGGTCTTGCAGTCCTCACAGTTCCGATCTCTAGCTGCAATCATGCCATGACAATGTTCCCCTTGATGCCACACTGTTCCTTGATCTTGGCACTGCTGACATTTTGGGCTGCATTTGTGTGTTGATGGATATACTGCACGTGGCATCTTCAGTAACCTCCACCCGGCCTCTATCTGTTAGGCGCTATGAGTACTAAGGTCATGGCCAACGAGGTTATCTCTAGATTTTACCACTTGTATCCTAAGATACAAAAGTGTTCCTAGCTGAGAACCACTGGTTGAGAATTATTGTGAATATGTATTTTATTCTTCCTAAATGGGAGTTTTAAACCATGCCTAACTGCCGTTTTTATATTACAAAACCATAGTAATTAGCATTTCCAAAATTATATTAAAAACATGCACATATACTAAGATTAACTAAACAATCTAATACAAAATAAAAGCTCAAGTTTTAAGAAGTGCAAAGCATGTATTTATAAACATATAAATTTGATTTAAATGATATCATTTTTAATGAGATTCTAAAATACCATAGATTCATCTCTATCTGCAACTGTTTTCATCTGCTAAATATCTGGGGTGTTTGTTTGTTTGTTTGTTTGTGGAACCAGGGATTGAACTCAGACCCTTGTGCTTGCCAGGAAAATGCTTATGCTACCAAGCCATCTCCCCAGCCCCTAAATACCCTGAGCTTTTTCTGCTAGGTTTCCAAGGCTTTGAATTTGACCTCTCATTTTATTTTCCTCACAAATATATCTGAAATCTCTCTCACTAAAAATCACATTGTCTTTTTTCCTAATTCCCTTATCCTATTCTAGGCTTGACCTAAAGTTTATGAAAGAGGAATGTCCAATTACTCTTTCACAAAGAGATGTTTCAGCCCCAACCTATTTTGTATAAAATTGTACATGCACATGCTATTATAATATTTCATTTCTTTTGTTTTTATACCTTATGCTAGGGATTAGATGCAAAATTATCATCCTGACATGCAAGATTTTCAAATTAAATCCTACTTTTGTAATTCCTATTATCTTCTGATAGCTACGCTGCATGCCAGATGGTAAGTCTCCTCTCTAGTCATCCTTCTACTCTGCCTTCACTTGTGTGCTTCACATTTGCAATCTTCTCCGTGCGCAGCAAACCACCATAATCCCATTCCTTCCAGTCTAGATCTCCTCTGGTGAGGCAGCTCAGTGGTACCTTCCTGTCCCCCACACCCTAACACTTTTGAAATTTTACAAAATCAGAAATGGAGACCATAAAAATGATGCATCATCTACATTATGGCTAAGTTCAATTATCTAAGTTATTTTAATGGCCAAGACTACTCTGAATACACAGGTCAGTGAATGGTGTTTGATCAGTGACGTCATCTCTCCTTCCTGCCTCTTCCTGGATGAAGGAAGAGCAGTCACGCATTCATTACGCCTCTCACAGTGCCATGTAAACCTTGGAGCCACGGAATGAGGTCAAGGAAATGCTGCACGGTGGACTCGCTCGCAAACAATCCAATGTAAACTCACAGCAATGGAAATGTTCCAGAATTGGGCAAGCACAAAAGATTATGGTGAAAAGCATCAGCCTGTCTTATGACCAAACAGTCATAAGAATTACAGTGAAACTGGTAGTTTTAACATTCTCACATTTTGACCATATACATAATTTTCAGAAGCTCAGGTTTGCATTAAATAAATGATACTAACATTTTCTCTTTTATATTGTTTTCAATTACTTGATTTGTCACAGAAGTAGTCTCAAAATATCATTTTTTTCTTATCTTTCTCTGATGCAAATATTTGAAGATTTTAAATTATAATTTATTTTTTCTTTCTCTACAAATATTAATACTAAATATATGTGGTATTTAAATTGTTCATTCTGTTCAATGTATTGTATCTTCATAAATAAAAAAGCATCATTTATTGAGACTTTATTGCATATTAACTGTTCTACTGATACTTTGCACAGCATGCTTTCACTTTGGCCTTAAAAATAGGCCTGCGCCTGACATGTGGTAAAGATGACACATCTTGTTTTGAGTAGGATTGAGTGTGGCTTACTGTATATGGGAAACATTGACTAAAAAGTAAAGGTGGTTATATACTGGTATCCTTTAACTGCTAATAGGAATTACTTTTGAAACAGATTTATAAAGCAAATACTCTGTCTTCTGTCTTCAAGAAGTACAACTTAAACTGAAGAACTCAATTCAGGCCTTATAATTTATTTTAATTTTCGAGTCTGTGAGAATGCTTTTGGTGTGTTTTATAATAATATTGGGATAATATACTTGCTCATCATAAAGTTTGGGTGAAGAGAAAAGTATAAATAGAACAGTGGATGAGAAAATTTAAAAAAGGAATAAGCAGCAATTATACATTGATTATAGTTTTTACAAAAATGAATGAATTCTTTGAGCACATCTACTAAAGGAAGACAATCAACAGTAAATGTAAAGCTCTTACATTTGAAATGCAGAAATCTTCAAGGAAAAAGGCTCACCCTGGACTTAATAGAAAAATTAAACAAAATAATATTTGCACTTGAAATAAAGACACTTTCTGGTACCTTATTAAGTATTCTCTTAAGCTGGTAGATCTATTTACCCAAACTATTTCCTGTAGATAAGTGGTAATTCATTGCTTGTTAAAAATGTGTGCACACTTGTGACTATAGAAGACTTTATGGAAATCTTTATGGAAGACTAACATATTGCATATTATATATACAAAAATGTAACATATGCAATACAGTCCCAAATATATAAATATGTAAGAGGCTTATAAATTAAAATGCATATTCCAGTACTTCCCTGGCAAGCTCAAGGGCCTGAGTTCAATCCCCGGTTCCACCCACCCCCCAAAAAAAGTAAAACTAAAACTAAATAGAATAAAAAGGCATAGTCCTATATAAATTATTACTATGCTTTTTAACATTCAAAATACTTTAGACTTTTTAAACAAAAGCATGAGTTTTTAGGTGGAATTATAATGAACCAACTTCAATAGTATGAATTGTACTCTTTGAAGGTTATGTTCATCATATTCATAAATATTTCTTATTTTCAATGTTTATATAACTTATTCTAGAATAAAATGGATTGTGCAAGTAAAAATATGTACAAATCCTACACACTATGAAAGAAGAATTGATATAAATAGTAATGCAAGCATGACTGTTCATATGCATAGCATCTGCTTTGTAAAACTCTAATCAAATAATTAATACATGTTCTCATTTTTAAATAAATATTTGATACTGCTCAAATCTGCTCAATATTTCTTTTATCATAATATGACATAGATATTGTTGAAAAATGGCAGAATTTAAAGCATCAGCACGCCTGTAGATCGAGGAAAACTTTGATTTAAAGATAAACAGATGGAGCCACTCATTTTCTTAGTTACTCAACGAAAACACAAAAGGTAGAACACGCTAAGTGGCTAGGTCAGGAGATAACATTCCGTCACTTACTTTCATAATGAATCTTGAAACCATTATTGGAACGGCTGTTGTCTGTTGTAAACAGGAGGTATATAAAATTACTGCTGCTAAATAGAAACTGGGGCACTTGTGTGCCATTGTAAGATCCAAGCAAGGGGGACAGAAGATTGGGCCCATCGTGGACTTCCAGAACATCATAGTTCAGCTCAGTCTGAAACCTGTTATTAGGAGACATACATAAAGGGCATTTATTACAATAATGCAATATCGGAAAATAATACTTTAATTATCATTTAGACTAATATTAAGGCTTATAATTTTTCTAACTCTCTTCAGTTTATACAATATGTAAGATATTATTTATGATCCTATCATTTAAGAGCCAGTGAGATAGCTCAGGAGACTAAGTGCCTGCTTAGGCAAGCGTAGGGCCCTGACTCAATCCCCAGCACCACGTGCTGGGCCGGCCCCACGCCCAGGCATGCTGAGGTACTGAGGAGTCTGGGCGTGGTGGCACATGCCTGTAATCCCAGCCCTGGGGAGACTGAAAACAGGAGGATCACTACAGGTTCCAGCTGTGTAGTGAGACCCTGAACAAATACAGAAAACAAACAAACAAAACCAGATCCTTATTCCTGCAGAAACTTACCACTAAAAAGTCATATGACTACTTGCTCATAAGTGAAACATAACATTCACACCTTATGGATTATTGTGAGAAAATAATTGCCCTAGTTTTTAACTCAGGATATTTGTGGAGTCATCGTTAGTTGCCGTCTTCATTTCTATGATGAGACTGTTATTTATATTCAGTTTCAATCAGACAATCAGATTCCCATTTTGATAGTATATACATTTAATATCAGACATCTGCTTTATGCATTGCAGGACAGATTTTGACCTTACAATTTTTGTGTAGTTCATACTGGAAAATAGCTGTCTATTGATAAGTATATAACAGGGAGCCCTTCTTGTTATAAATAGGTAACAAATAACAGTGTAGGTATTGTTACCAGATGCTTGAAACTCCCCTAGTTTTATCTACATTGGTTTAATTCTCTGCCTAGTCTTTTGAACTAAGCGATATTATTATACTTCGATTAGCATAGTCAAGAAATTATAGTTTAAATATAGGTAAAAGGCTGTGTTAAGTGATAGAGGGACGGTTAAAAACCAAGTCTATCTGCTCTAAACTACACTAAACTGATAGGTTTTATCCTTGGGCATTGGTTGTTCCACTGATGTTCCAATTCTTTAAAAATACAAATTATTTCAAAAATTGCAAGAAATCCTACTTTGGACATAGAAAACATACAGAAACTGCAAACACTACTTTTGGTGTATGGAACACATATATTAATAAAATAGCATCTTGTGTTTTTCTTTGCACTTCAAGGTTATATCATGCTGGGCATTTCCATCAGAGATCTGAGCTCTGAACTCACAAGAAGATATCTTATGGGAAAGGGAAACACTTTGTTCAGTGGGAAGGAAAAATTGGAATGAGAAAAAGGACAAATGAAAGAAGGGGAAAAGTTGTATTTAGGTATATTTGTAGACTAGTTTGGATAATTGCACTGTTGATTTCTGCTGTTCTTCTGAAAAGAGCAGTGA